ACCCACACTCCCATTTTTATTACAGTACTGTTCACAATAGTCAAGATTTGGTAGGAACCTAAGTGTCTGTCAACAGTTAAATGGGTAAAGAAAATGTGGTACTTATACATAATGAAATACTATTTAGCCATAAAAGGAATGAGATCCTACCATTTGTAACAACATGGATAGAGCTAGAAATTATTATGTGAAGTGAAATAAGCAAAGCAAATTCAGGAACACATTGAAAGGATTATACACAAATGATGAGGTGGGATTTGTTCCTGGGATACAAGTATGGTTAAGTACACAACAGTCATTAAATGTGATATACCACAATAACAAAATAAAGGATATAAATCATATGATCATCTCAACAGATGTAGAAAAAAGCATGAGGCTTTTGACAAAATTCATCAACCTCTTATGGAAAAAACTCAACAAAGTAGATATAGATGGAATTTACCTTAATATTATGAAGGCCATTTATGAAGAGCTCACAGTTAAGATCATACTCAACTGAAAGATTATCTTCTAAAATCAACAGCAAAGCAAGAATGCCCTATCTCACCCTACCCCCCATTCAATGTTGGACCAAAAGTCCAATCCAGAACAATTAGGCCAGCTAAATAAATAAAGCCATCCAATTTAGAAAGTAATAAGTAAAATCATCTGTTTGCTGATGGCTTTATCTTATATCTTAAAAACAACATAAAGAGTCAATAACAAAAAACCTGACAGGGCTAGTATATAAATTCAGTAAATTTGCAGGACAGAAAATCAGCATGTAATAATCAGTTGCATTCTCAAACATTAACAACTAATTTTAAAAATTAAGAAATTAATAAATCTCACAAAATTAAGAAATATCCAAATATTACAAACTATCTAATTAAAAAAAATAAGAATTTCATAAATCTCATTTACAGCAGCATCAACAAGAATAAAATACTTTGATGTAAATTTAACCAAAGATGTATTTATGTTGTACACTGAAATAGATAAAACATTGATGAAAAAATTATTGAAGATACAAATAAATGAAAAAATATTCTGTATTCATGGATGAAAAAAGTGGTATTATTGAAATATTCATACTACCCCAATTAATCTACAGATTTAACACAGTCCCTATCAAAAACTTTGGGTATTTTTTACGGAAATGAAATACAACGCTAAAATTGATATGAAATCACAAAGTACCCAAATACCTAAAGCAAGCCTCAGAAAGAACTATTATGAAGTGAAACAAGCCAGGCCCAGAAAGACAAGCATTGCATATTCTCTCTTATTTGTTGTGTCTAAAAATTAAACTCATGGAGGTAGAGAGTAGAAGGTTGGAAAGGGTAGTGGGTAATTGGAGGAGAGGTAAGGATAGTTAATGTGCAAAAGTTAGAGAAAATGAATAAGACCTACTCTTTGATAGCACAACCATAGAATGACCATAGTCAATAATAACTTAATTGTGTATCTAAAAATAACTGTAAGAGTATATTTGAATTGTTTTTAACACAAAGGATAAATGCTTGAAGTGATGGTTACCCCATTCTCTACGATGTGATTATTAACACTTAGTCTTTGATAGTAACACTCCTGTTATCCAAGCACGTAGCTAGGCTCAGGTGGATGAATTGCTTGAGACCAGGAGCTGGAGACCAGACTGGGCAAAAACCTATGGCAAAACCCCATCTCTACAAAATACAAAAAATGGCTGGATATGATGAACAGCTCTTGTAGTCCCAGCTACTAGGGAAGCTGAATGGGAGAATCACCTGAGCCTGGGGAGGTTGAGGCTGCAGTGAGCCATGATCACACCAATGCATCTGAGCCTGGGCAACAGAGAGAGACACTGTGTCAAAAAACAAATCAATCTTTTAAAAATATCTGGAAATGTAAAATGTAAGTTGAGAATAAGTATTTTGAAGGCTTCGACTCTGATGTTCTAGGAGAATTGCATTCTAGGGAGAAGAAACAAGTGTAAAAGCTTAATATTTTAAGGTTATATGTGGTAAAACATATATGAGGGCAGAGAAGTAGTCAGCAGACAGATCATTAAGGATTTATAAGCCAGAGCACATGAGGGCAGAGAAATAGTCAGCAGACAGATCATTAAAGGATTTATAAGCCAGAACAAAAGAAAAGCTAATGCTAAGTGTGGTATCCATACACTAGAAAGCTTTGACCAAGGGAGAAACATGATGGTTTCTGTATGGAGAATGGGATATGGTGCTGTGGAGAGAAATGAAGAAGGGGCTTCTCCTGCACTGAGAGGGCTTTGGAGTTTTCAAGAGAGAGCTAATGGTTGACTAAATTTCTAGTGGGCAGAAGTGGTAGAAATATAACGAATTATACCAATTCAAGTATTTTTTAGGTAGACAGGATGGGGCTTACTACTGGTAGGAAGGGTGAAAAAAGAGTAATTAGGGATGACTCCCTGATTGTGGATTAAGCTACAGACTGGATACCAGTGTCATTTAATGGGCTGGGGAGAACTCGGGGAGAAAGAGGCATTGGTGGAAGGATGTCAACAGTTCTTTTTGGGGCTTGTTAATTTTGAGATACCTGGACGATAGTCAACTAGATGCCTTAATTAAGTATTTGGGTATGGGAATATGGAGCTGAGTAAATAAGTAAATACTAGGTTTAAATATAAGATTCGACAGCATAAGAATGGTATGTAAAGCCATGTTTTAAATTTTTATTTTTTATTGGAATAACTGAGAAAACAATACAGATAAAAACAAAAATGGACTGGATGAAAGGGCACTGCTATTAGATTTAACTACATGTGATGCTCCGCCTACTTAAGTGGGATAGTAAAGGTAGAAGCTCAATTTTTCTGTCATTGTACATTAAATTTCAACCTAAAACCTGATTTTTGAATCCTATTGGTTAAAATAATGTTAAGGGCCTTTTTTATAGAGGAAAAAGAGGATTTGAAATGATTTCCTAAATCCTCAGCGAAATGCCAACATTTCCAGAAAAGTTTAACAACCTGAACATGTAATTTCACTATCAGCAGAGGAACGTGATGAACAGGTTCCTAGAGGGAATGGGAGGAGAACAAAGGGCCAGAATTTGACTCACTGTGCCATTATTGCTCATGCAGACTAACCAGGTGAGATCTCCTGGCAGATCATGGTTATAATAACCAATGACTTTTAGTAGCTGATGCAGGAGGGACAGGACCCAATGCTTAATGTTTAAGCAAAACAATTATTCCTTACTGTTCCTTGGAAGCTAGCTTTTGAGAACATACAGAATAGGAGACCCTTCCTTTAATGTCCAGGAGAAGATTCATGTTGCGTCCAAAGTTTATGTCAGGAAGAATAAAGGGGAGAGCAAATCATTTAGCAATTTTGCAACAACATTGGATTTATTTCAGAAAATGGTAAATCAGAAATAAATGAATTGCCACTAATTGGGAAGTTCAAGGATATTGCATTTTGCTTAATACTGCTTTTTATTTTTCCTCAAATCAATAGGACTTAAGGGGTCACAAAAGAATTTAATATAGTTTTAAAGATATAAAGTTAATTGTTTTCACATCTAAATAAATATTATGTATATATCCTTTGTTACACTCTGTTAAATTCTAATTTTTTTAGTTTTGGGATGTATTTAGCTGTTTATCAAGTAGCTCTTTCATATGCCTCATTTAAATTTGTTCTTGTTGGTCATTTAGACAATTTTGATTTTTGTCCTTCTTTAAATCAAAATAAATTGGTTACTTTCTATTTTAAAACTTTGGATGATTAATTGGTAATAATATCATATATTATAGGCTAGTATCCTCTCCCTCATGAGAGACTTCCCTAACCTTTTCAAGGGCATTTTCTAAAGCTTCATTTACTTGGTTGTCTCTCCATGTTCTTCAAATATTTCTTAAAATGAGAGAGTCCAAACTTGATAAAATTCTAAAAGAAACATAATCATAAAATTACAGAGATAATCTAAGAACAGTGTCAATTTAAACCTCTACATCGGTTCAATAATTCGTATTTCAAATTTATTTATTTTAATTTATCATGAACAATAGGATGTTATGAAGTATGTATACATTGTGGAATGCTGAAATCTTGCTAATTGACCCAAGTGTCATCTCACATGGTTATCATTTATGCAATGAGAAGACAATGTTCATTCTCTTTGCATTTTTCAGCAATAAAATACATTGTCATTAACTATAGTCACCATGCTGTACAATAAATCTTTTGAACTTATTCCTTCTATCTAACCATAATTTGATTCAATTATTGTTACATCTACTATGCGCCTACAAAAATTAAAAAGAAAAACATTCATTCAATCTGGCTTGACATAAAATCAAACTAACTTACCAAGGGTGCTTCTTTTGGCTTGGAAGTGGGACATCCAACAACCATAAACATGGTTGTGATTGTTTAAACTTCAGAAAGAAAGATGTCGGCTTCTAAGGAAGTAATTTTTTCTTTTACTTCTTTTTTTTTTTCCCCAGAGGGATGCTGTATTTACTTGAAAGTAGACTTTCTTAAAGGTGTTTAACTTCAATTCATGACTCCTATATTTCTTTCTTTAAATTTGTAGATGCCGTTTGAGATTATTTTAAATCTATAGATATAGCATCTCCCTCCTTGGGATTTTTAAGCCTTTATTAAACGTGTGTGTGTGTGTGTGTGTGTGTGTGTGTGTGTGTGTGTGTGTGTCCATGGATTTAGTGTCCTTATCTTCTACATCCTTATTTGAATATTCTTCTTTAGATCTTTCTAGAGATCATTCATTGAATCCTTCCTATCCCCAAATTTAAGTGTATGCATTCTTCAAGTCTTTCAATGGATCCACCCTTAATTTTTTTAACATCTTTCTTATATTTTTATAAATTTCTTCTGAGTTCTCCTTTGTATCCTTCTTTGCCACCTTTTAAACATCATTTAATTCTTTGAAACCTCTTTTTTACTCACAAATTCAGTTGCAGAATACCACTATTATTTCATCAAATATGCTTTTGAATTATTCTTTCAGTTTGAATTCTTATTTAAGGCCTACTTGCCCTTCTTCTTTGCATCCTTCTTTTCATCCTTCTTTGCATCCTTCTTTGCATCTTTCTTTGCATCCTTCTTTGCATCCTTCTTTTCATCCTTCTTTGCATCCTTCTTTTCATCCTTCTTTGCATCCTTCTTTTCATCCTTCTTTGCATCCTTCTTTGCATCTTTCTTTGCATCCTTCTTTGCATCCTTCTTTGAGTCAGAAGATTCTTTGTCAGAGTCTTTCTTTGCATCTTTCTTGGCATCCTTCTTAGACTCTTTCTTGGCATCATCCTTTGAGTCACTGTCTGTACTACTGGGCTTCTTCTTATCTTTCTTATCCTTTTTATTCTCCTTTGCATCTTTCTTAGCATCTTTCTTGGCATCCTTCAGTTCATCACCTTTCTTTGCATCTTTTTTCCCATCCTCATCCTTCTTTTCATCTGCTTTTATAGATTCTGATTCTGTGGTTGAATCCTTGCCCTTCTTTGAATCTTTTTTGGCTTTTTTGCTATCTTTCTTTGCATCTCCTTTTTCATCTTCAGATTCTGTAGCTGAGTCTTTTCCCTTCTTTGCATCCTTTTTACCTTTTTTCCTATCTTTCTTTGCACCTCCTTTTTCATCTTCAGATTCTGTAGCCGAGTCTTTTCCCTTCTTTGCATCTTTTTCACCTTTTTTGCTATCTTTCTTTGCATCTAGCTTTTCATCTTTTCCTTTATCTACATCCTTGCCTTTCTTTAAATCTTTTTTCCCTTGTTTTAATTCTGATTCGGAGCCTGTTGTGTCCTTCTCTGTTGTCTTGTCTTCACCTTTCTTACCAATATCTGAGGACAAATATTCAAATATTTCTTAAAATGAGAAAATCCAAACCTGATAAAATTCTAATAGAAACCTAATCAGAAAATTTACAGAGATAATATAAAAACAGTACGTGCTCTCCACCTGCTGCTTTAGAATCTGCCTTGGCAGTACGAGTTGGTTTGAGAGGCTGCCTCCTGGCAGCTAAATAAACGGATGGTCTCTCGGGAATTCTCATTAGAGAACGGTACATCCATAATGGTCGTCTATGACCTCCTCTTAATTGTTCTTCATCAATTGTCTGAAAGATTGGTTACAATAATGATGAATAACTTGTGGGTAAATTACACAGTTTTTTATTAGTATATCCCAAATATATTTTAACTTTAACCATAAAGAGATTTTAGCTTTTGTTAAAAAGTGGGGGAAGTTACAGATTTCATCGTTTATTTTGGTTTTGTTTTTTAAATGTTCATCCTCTTTTTTAAACTAGTGAATAATCATGCCTTATTTGGAGCTTACTTTCAGTTTATAGGACCTTGATAGTTCCCTCAGGATTTTAGGTTCAAATTGGTAGAGACCTCCATTGACTCAAGGCATATTAGAACCTCTCTTCACAATCATAGGAGGCTTTTTTTAAAAAAATAAAACTCTATGTTCTTGAGAATTCTTGGAATATCTTGTCCAACTTCTATTTTTTGGTGACTCAGAAACTGTTCTCTAATATCTAATAGTTTCAGGTTGAAGCATATCTTAGTCTATTTTCATTTCCAGAGTCTCTGAAATTTAGAATGCTACTCATACTTAAAGATAAAAGCCTGGAACTCCTATTGCTTAGTGAGATACAAATTGAGTATCATCAGATTGGTAACCGAAATAATAAAATCTGTAACAGGGAATGTTAGTTTGAGACTGTGCATTTTATTTTCAAACTTCTAATTAAACATTTACAAAACTAAATGACAAAAATAGCCAATATTGGTACAAATATTAACAATGGAAAAATAAATTCACCAAAGAAAAAAGAAAAAGAACTTTGTTCACTACCAATGGGATGCATTTTCAAAAATAAACAAGTTAATGATACATTTATTTTGTGAAAACTTTCTTTTGAAAATATGCATATCCCATGTTGACTCCAGAAACATTGGGAAATATTTATTTTCCAATACTCTGAATCCTGAATTCTGCATTACAGAACTGAGGAAGTATTAAAGGTATAATGTAATCCCATGACTCAAATGAGGGGGTTTCTCCAGCCGAAGAACATTTTCTGAAAGTTCATACTAACTCTAACATTAGGACCTCCATATTTTTCTACTCATTGGAAACATTTTTTGTAATAAAGGATTACTGAAAAAATAGTTAATATTGAAATAAAGGGAGCGGTTATATACAGTAAAATGCAAATAAAACATATCTACCTTTTTTAAATAGTAAAATTTGAATTACTTCTAACTGTGCTGTTCAATATGACATTTCATAGCCACATGTGAATTTGCTTTAATTCAATGTAATTTAAATGTAAAATTCAATTCCTCAGTTACACTAGCCTCATTTCAAGTATTTAATAGCCTAATTGGACTATAGAGATAAATATTGCCATCATTGCAGAAACTTTGTCAGCTTTGATCTATAACACATAAAACTATACATGATTTCATAAGCTTACTACTCACAAGTGATTACTTAAGACTAATACTTATAATTACTTATTATGGTCACAATTGTTACTAAGTTATTACTTATTACAGATAATTATATTATCTTTCCGGTACTTACAGGACCTGTATTGTCCCTTATTTGAGAAGGTTTTGATCTTCTTTTCGTTCCTGGCCGTTGTGGTTTTGGAAATGACAGGGCAAAGTGTTGTTGATTCCATGATTTTTTGCTTAATTCACTGACTAAAATAAGAAAGACAAAACACACGTTTTGAAATGAATAGAATTTCATCAGAGCTGAAATGGCATTAAGTGCAACATATATCATGTAAATGAATAAACAAGTGACTCAAATTATGGCTTCATTTATTTGGTAATGTTTGCAATTTTCTGTTATCAATATGAGAAAATAAAAATTGATTTTTCTATTTTGACCAGTTTTACAGATAACTATATAAAGTAGTCATTGAAAAACTAATATCACTAAATGGAAAGATTCAGTTTTACTGCTTCCCTTTAATTCTATCTCTTCCAATCCAGGTTTTTGCTTCATACTTTTTGTTAGCAAACAATTTTATTAACAACAGAAAATAAGTTAACTACTTTTGTAGCTCCCACGGTACTTAGCACAATGCCAACATAAAATATTCAGGAAATACATGATTTCATCTAAATGCTAAGGCTTAAGATCGCCTTAGTTAATAATAACTTTCCAAGCTACAAGAGTAAATGCTACTCATCCAAGAATGGCATTGTTATAGGTTACGTATTTAATAAAGAAAACTGACCAAAAGTCTACAGAATAGTGCCTGGGAGGGTGAAGTAAGCTGGAAGCTATACTGGAAATGATTAATGATATTTTGGTTACCAATGGGACCAATGAGAGGTTTCATCATTGTATTTAGATACACGCAGTATTAATGTGTGAAAATAATAGACATTTCCTGTGAGTCCTCTAAAGAAAATAGGAACAGTGGGAAAAATGTACAGAAAAAAGTAATATTTAAGCTCAATATCTGAGGAGAATGTAATTGATATTTGAAGTCCTCCAAAATCAAATACATTTGCCTTGCCTAGTAAAGAAATTTTGGCCCACTTTTAAGCTGGATATAATCTGTCGGGAATGTTGCAGAGGAATAATCAGCATTCCTGATAGATAATATCCAGCTTAAAATTAGATATAATAAACAAGAAATTGTTTATCTAATTTCGACATTGCTTTTCAACTGTGAGATTATCTGATTGTATGAGTTCTAACATGTAACTATTTCCAGCTTTATATTGTTGAACATATTTACTTAAAATTCCTTGGATTCAAAACAAAGCAAAATATATGTTAAAGGTGTTCCATGTGTCTGTAAAAAAGGTTCCTTGGGAAATAGGAAGTTGATTATCAATTTGATTCCATGGAAATGTTTGCTTTATCACTTTGAATGGAGAGTAATACTTACCATAAAATTAATCACACACGTTTTGAAATAAATATCGAATGCTTTCTTACCTGGAATGTAATTATCATATGTCCCAAAGTTTACTTTTTGGCTATTAAAATAAAAAAGAAAGGTATTAGTTAATTTATATAAAATCAGTGTTTTAAATTGGCATTATTATACTTCAGCACTTATACAACTAACAACTAGAGAAATACTTCACATTCTCAGATGTCTTTAATTATATAAGAATACTTTATCTCCAGGATAGAAGAGATTAACCAATGTGTTTTCAAATTACAACAGTACTAAATAATGTTTGGCCAAACAAACTATATATACATATGCCTGTCAAATAGATATATGTGTGTGTGTGTGTATATATATATGTGTGTGTGCATGTGTGTATATACATATATATATAAACAACTTGCACATCTGAAAATATACATTTAAATTATAAAATTATAAAAACACAGTTGAATTATTTTTCTCATTTCATGTTTCAAATTCTCTTGCAATTCAGTTTGAAACAAGATATCACTTTGTAAACCCTATGCTTATGTAAAAGCATATCCTCAAAATACTCTCAAAACTTTACCAAATCCAAATTGTTAAATGGCATATATGTGCACCTGTGAATTTGTGTGTGCATGTGTATATGTCAGTGCGGACCACAAAAATTCATAAGGAATTTTGCTACATTTTAAAGAAAATCTGAAAAACAAAACTATATTGCAAATTATTTTCCATTTATAGTTTCCCATTTGATTTACTACTATCTAAACATGTTTGTTCTCATGAAGAAGAGTTTTACAATCTAATTTTTATTTATTGGTGATGGAGGCAAACCCTACAATCTATTAGAGAAATATTATTTTCCATAGTTTCATTATATTTTGGATATAGAGCGATCATTGGGCATGAGTGAATTTGAGGCTTATGTGCCTCATGTAGTGTTTATTTTGACAGATGTATAGAAAATTTAAGGTTTAAGTACAGAAAAGCAGTGTCTTGATACCTTGACTAAAGAACGAAGCTGCCAGTATAAAACATGGCACAGTTTTGTCACTCTATAAAAATTTGTATTAATTGAATAACATTTAATATGTTTTCACCAGTAAGTTATCCATCCAGTCTATCATTTTCTTAAACTGAACCCATGCACCAAAATTACTTGCCCCAAAATATCTAAATATCTAAATTCAGATCCAGTCAAACGACATTTATATATTACAGAAGAAATTTTAATGTACAATGGTGATTACGAACTGCATTATTCCAAATGCTCTGAATGAGGAAATATTTCAAGTTCATGAAACATTATTAAGCTTGAGATTTTCATTTTTTTAAATTTAGTTATTCATTTTATTATTATTATACTTTAAGTTCTGGGGTACATGTGCAGAGTGTGCAGGTCCATTACATAGGTATACACGTGTCACGGTGGTTTGCTGCATCCATCATCCCGTCATCTACATTAGGTATTTCTCCTAATGCTAGAATGATCCATCAATTTCTTCTATAATTTCTAGGACATCTGCTTTAATCACAAAGCAATTGGAATTAAAATCAATAATAAAATTATCTAGAATATATATATATATATATTTGAAAAATTAACAGCTCCTTTTAAAGAACCAGTGGTCAGAGATCACAATGAAAACCTACTGAAAAAGAAGCTACTGAATAATAAGTTAATATGCGAAAATTATAGAATATTGCTTAAAAGGTCATAGAGAATAACTTATAGTTTTAATGTTTTATATTATAAAAAATGTTTAAAATCAGTGTTTTAAATCTCGCCATTAAAATTTGGAAAATAGTATAAGAAAAGAAGTAGAAGAGGGGGTAAGTATGTTCCAACTTATTTTTTAAGGCTAATATAAATAACCCAAATCCTTTTGAGGTCAATACTAAAAATGCATATTATAGATGAATATCTATCATTAATATAGACACATAATTTCTTAAAATTAAATAGTACTGACAAATATGTAAAATTGCTAATACATCATAACCATCTGGTTTACTTTCCAGAATATGAGGTTGGTTTAACCTAAAATCAAACAATGCAATCATTGACTGTACCAGAGAGGAAAGACATGCTTTCACCAGCAGAATGACTTAAAGGCATCAAGTTACTCAGCTTTTAAAGTAATCACGACAGATGCATTTAAACCTTTACCAAACGTTATACTTTAAAATGATTGTTTTTATAAGAAACTAGACACCAGTATCTATGGAAAGCCTATTTTACTTTCAGTATTCATGTTTTATCTTTCTTTTAATAATACTGCTGAATGAAGGCCCACCCATACTTTACATTTCAAAACTCTATTGCTTCACCTTTGTTCCATGCCCTCTGTAAAAAAGGTTTACAGAATTGAAACCTGTTCTTCACCTGCCTTATTTTAACACAGAATAATTTAAGCACAAGCCAACTACTATATGACTTACTTCTCATGTCTGGATTAGGTGCTTTGCATAACGAACTACTTTCACATACTCAATATTTTGCAAGATGGATACAATTAGTATTTGGTTGGTCATATTCTGATAGAGCTGCCCCACTTTTTACTAAAGGTTACTGCTGTGATATATGCCTCCTTTAAAATTGAGTCACACTCCTCAGTCACTATTACATACACAAAAATTATTCACAGAAATTTCCAAGTGGTTCCCTGACTGAAAATCATAAATTATTTTATATTACCGAAAATACAATGTGATAAGAAATCAAGTAAGACTCACAATAAAAAACAAACAAAAAGACTTATTTAAAGCCAGGTATCTATTTTGCTGAAATGCATGCACTAGCTGTATCTTGAATCAAAAATATCTATTATGTGAGAAACTTCATCTGCTAAGCACATCATCTTTTGCTTATGAATGGCATAATAATAGTAAACACCTCTTCACACTAAAGAAGTTAAATGTAAAGCTAGTGAGAATTTTTGTATTTTAAAACGTAAAATTTGACTTACAATCGTGGGAGAGACATTTTCCCCACATATGACTTGCCAGGACTTAAGTATTGTAAGTTCAAACTAGTGATGTTGAAAGGTGACATCATAAAGAGGCCAAGAGCACTCAGATTTAAAGGGGCAACACCAAAGAAGACACTTATGTTTTATGCTCTCTAAAATTCTAAGTTTAATACTTACTTTCACTTATTATTGTTGACTAAATCTAGCTACAAGTACTAAAAGTAATCAATTGATTTTTACACTTTAATAAAATACTTGTTTAATTTTTTTCCTGTAGTTGTAACTTACTGATATGGAAAAAAGGCAAGTCTAAACATTAATCTGTGAAGATCAGCTGTAATCCTGATTTCCCTTTCATTCCTGTAACTTTTGTTAAATCATCTGCATAACTTTATATGTCTTTCTCTCATCTTAAACTTATGGTCTGCTTGTACACAAAATATTTTAAACAAAGCTAGATGCTTTTTAAACTTATAAACATATAGATATATCTGAGTTAGTACATTTTTATTAAACTCACAATTTCACCCCATTAATAGATGAATGCAGAGAGGCATTTAAACATGTGGCTATTATTTAGCTCTTTTTAACATATCTTAACTATTTTTGTCTTAAGAAATAGTTTTCTTAAATATCAACTACTATAAGAGGTAAACTACAAAAATATTAGTGGTTTGATTCAAAGTTTCTAACTGGTCTTACACAATAATAAATTTTAGAGGCATTGGAGCTGGGATGGGAGCCTTCTATAATTTAGATTTCTATGATCTGATTATTGTCTGACTTAATGAGAATATCTACTGATGTTTTCCTGAAAAGTGATGATTTAAAGCAAAGTATAATTTCTAAACCTATACTATTTTGTTGAGCATTTTATAGTCTGTAGTGGCTTATGAAAATATTAATCTCTAATGCATTTACTCTATCAGCATATATTAAAATCTAAATCATGACTGAGCAACCAGCAATACTTGCCTTCTGCAATATCATCTCTTGAATTAATCTCTCATCGCCATTCTTAATTAAATGTGTACGATCTACAAATATCTTAGAGAGCCAATAATATTTTTATAATGAGTGTGTGCCAGTCTTCTATTACTAAATAGAAAATTATTACAAATTTAGTGACATACAACAATAATTTTTTACCTCATAATTTTATAATTCAAAAGCTTAGGTGGGTTTAACTGCGTCCTCTGCTTAGGGTCTCACAAGACTGAAATCAGAATGTCAGCTGAACTGTATGTTACCTGGAGACTCTAAGAAAGACTCAGTGTCTAAGCACATTTCAGCTGGTAGAATTTAATTCCCTGTGGCTATAGTTCTGATACCTCTGTTTTCTTGCTTGCTGTCAGCTATGAGCTGCTTTCTGCTCTTAGAAATTGTCTAAATTCCTTCTCAAATACCACCCCCTACATCTTCAAACCCGAAATAATTCATGGAGTCCTCATAATTAAATCAGTCTTTTTCAGCCTTCCTAAACCACTATCAGTTGAGGAAAAGCTTTGCTTCCTAAAGGGCTCAAATGGTTAGATTCAACCAACCTAGATAATGTCTTTATCATAAGGATCAATTGTACTTCATAATATAGCAAGTAATAAGAATGCTATCTCCTGTTATTCACAAATTCTACACACACTCCGAAGGAATGGTTGTTGGGAGTCTTTCTTAGAATTTTTCCTATGACAAATCCAATGTTAAGACTAAGAATCTGTTCTAGAATTTGAGGATTAATAGAAATATATCAAACTATATCAGCCATATATATATATATATATGTATATATATATATATCAGCTATATAAATATTCATGTATATATATTATATCTTAAGATATTGCGAATGTCTATCCAGCATTGGCACTATAATCATGTATTAATATTTTAGTGGTTGTTTTTAAGCTTAGAAATCATGTCTTCAAACATAGATATTTTACTTTATGAATGTATACATATTTTCAGTGTTTTATAGGTTGTACAGTTATTGTATACATTAACTCATTTTTTCTATAATAATGAAAAGGTTAGAAGAGGTGGTCCTTGAACGAGAAATATTTCCTAAAGGTCTACAATAGGTTAACGACTCAGAAACATGGCTTATAATTTCATTCTTAAAATCAATATATGTGATTATAGATTCTTCAAGCTTGTAATAATTTCAAAGACTCGGTGTTTCATGTATTTATGTATATATAGACGTGCATATATAATGTGTCTATATGTACAATTTGTATACAGTATCTACTTATTAATCTATCTTTCTATTCATGTATCAATTTATCTCCCTCTTTGTTTCACACAAGGTTTAAGATAATAAAAAAGAGTATATAAAGGTAGAAACCACCTTATTAAATGCATTCTAAGACATTTTACACAGTATAGTAGTTTGTATCATTTCAAAAAGTTTTATTTACAATTAACGTAATAATTGTACATGTGTATGGGTTACAGCTGTGAGTTTTAAATTCATGTATATATAGCATAATAATCAAACCAGGGAAATTAGCATGTTCACCCCTTTAAACATTTATTGTTTGTGGTCATCACATTTGTATTAATCCAATTTTGATTTGCTATAAATACCTGAGACTCAGTAATTTATAGAGATAAGAGGTTTAATTGGCTCACAGTTCTGCAGGTTGCACAGGAAGCATGATAATGGAATCTGTTTGGATTCTGTGTAGTCCTCAGAAAACTTGCCATCATGGTGAAAGGCAAAGAAGGATCAGCCATGTCACATGGCCAGAGCAAGAGCAATAGATCGTGGGGGTGTGGATACTACACACTTCAAAACAACAATATCTCACGAGAACTCATTATCCTGAGACCAGCAGCAAGGGGATGATGCTAAACTATCATGAGAAATCCACTCCCATGACCCAGTTACCTCCCACCAAACCCCACTTGCAACATTGGGGATTATAATTCAACATGACCTTTAGTGGAGACACAGATCCAAACCATATCAACATTCAATTATTTTATTCTACTATCTTGAAATACATAATGCATTATTATTAGCTATAATCACCCCACTGTGTAATAGAACACCATGATTTATTTTCATGTCTTTGTACCTATTGACCAGCTTCTCCTATACCTCCCTTTGGCTATTGTCCTCAGCCTCTGGTAACCATTATTCTACTCTCTACTTCTGTGAGATCATCTTGTGTTAGATTCCACAAATGAATGATATCATTCAGAATATATATTTCTGTACATGGCTTATTTCACTTAAAAACATCCAGGTTCATCCACGTTATTACAAGATGAAATTTCATTGAATTTTATGGTGAATAGTGTTACTATTTGAGGCTCAATAGAAATATATCTTCCTTTCATATATACTTTTTATTATATTTTAAGATCTTGACAATGTCTATCCAGCTTCATCATGATAATCATACATAAGTATTTTGTGGCTGTTTTGAGCCTAATAACTATGTCTTCAAGCATAAACATTCCAGTTTTTAAATGTATATGTATATATATTTAAGTGTTTTATAGGTTATAAAGTAATTCATGTACATTGAGTCATTATTTTCTTATGATAACACAGCAAAAAGTTATAGCACTGCAATAGACATGGAAGTGCAGATATGACTTTGAAATACGTATTTCATTTTCTTTGGATATGTACTCAGCAATGGAATTGCTGTAATGTATGATGGTTCTATTTTTACTTTTTTGAGGAACCTCCATACTGTTGTATATAATGGATGTATTAATTTACATTTTTACCAACAATGTGCCCTTTCACCACATCCTCACCAGCATTTGGTAGTTTTTGTCATTTTAATGATAGCCATTATAACTGTGGTAAAGCAATAGCTCATGGTCATTTGATTTTAAAGGGCATTTTTTTTCATGTACCTGTTGGTCATTTGTATGTATTATTTTAAGAAATGTCTGTTTAGGTACTTTGCCCATTTTCATATCAAGCCATTTCACTTTATGTTATTAAGTTGTTTGAGTTTCTTACATATCTTGGATATTAATCCCTTGTAAGATACATAGTTTTCAACTTCTGTAGGTTGTTTCTACTCTGTTGATTTTCATTTGTCAGAAGCATTTTAGATTGGTGCAATCCCATTTGTCTATTTTTGTTTTTCTTGCCTGTGATTTTGAGGTCTTACAGAAAAAAACTTTGTCCAGCTTTGTGAAGTGTTTTCTCCATGTTTTCGTCTAGTAGTTTTATAGTTCTGGGCCTTTTATAGTCTTCAATTCATTTAGAGTTGATTTTTCTTTATGATGAGAAATGGGGAGTCCAGTTGCATTCTTCTGCCTGTAGAATATCCAGTTTTCCCAGCACCATTTATTGAAGAGACTGACCATGCTTTCACCATTGTGTTTTCTTAATGCCTTTTTCAAAAATAGGTTGGCTGTAAATATATGCATTTATTTCTAGATTTTTCTTCATTTCAATGACTAAGTATATATTTTTATGCTAGTAGTATACTATTTTTGATACTATAGCTTTGTAGTGTATTTTGAAGTCAGGTAGTATATTGCCTCCAGAGTTGTTCTTTTTATTCAATATTTCTTTAGCTATTCCGGATCTTTTGTATTTCCATACAAATATTATGATTGTTTTTCTACTTCTGTGAGAGATGCCATTGGTATTTTGACGAAGATTATATTGAATGTAGATTATTTTGGGTAGTAATAACATTTAAAGAATACTAATTCTTTCAATCTATGAACACTGGGTATCTTTCCATTTATTTGTGTTTTCTTTATTTTCCTTCATTAATGTTTTATAGTTTTCACTGTAGAGATCATTCAACTCCTTGTTTAAGTTTTTCCCTTGGTATTTTGTTTTATTTTGTTTGTTGCTATTGCTTTCTTGATTTATTTTTTTTAGATGGATCACTATTAGCATACACAAATGATACTTATTTTTGTGTGATTTTGAATCCTGCCACTTTATTTTGTTTTCTTCTTACTGTTATTGCTTTAAAATCTGTTTTGTCTGATATAAGAATAGCTACTCTTGTTCACTTTTGTTTCTATTTGTGTCTAGCATTTTTTTTTTCATCCCTTTACCTTGAGTTTATAGAAATCCTTATGTTTTGGGT